TGGGAAACTCAGATAACTATTAAGAAAATAAAATCAGCCACAATCCCCAAACTCCAGGCTAGGCAAAGCATAATGATTAAGCAAATGTGTCTGTAATCTATAGTTCCTATGCTCAAATTGACAATTTAACTCAACTAGTTTGTTTTGAAGTGTATTTTAGTATTTTATAAATGTATCTACACAGGCAAGAAAACATTCAGTCCACCTCAAAGAGGATACTTTGATTATTCCAAAATAATCAGTGTGCTCTATCATTTTGGCTGCAACTTTCTCTCAGAATGGGGAAAGAAGGGGAGGGGCTCTTGGTAGTAGGACATTCATGAGATCCTCTCATTTTTATCCTGGTGCCAAAATCACACAAAACAGAAATAGCCACAAGGAAAGTGTCAATGTTCTGTTATTAGTGACTGATGTTATCAAGAGTCAAAATTTTGGACAAGTGGAGCCCATAAAATATATTTTGGACCTGATGTACATTTTCTTTTAAGAGCCCAAATTGTTTTATTCTTTCAGAGCTATGTTATCCATTTATTTTCACCTCACGTTGCCGGAATTTGTTGGTTCCGTCTCTATGGAAACCATTCAGAAGGGTGATAATGTGAAGTCTACCCTCCCACATGTGCCTGATCCTCTCTATCAGCACCAAGTGGTACAGTATCATCCCTGGTCCAGATCAGCTATTGCAGTATGAAAAGGAACAATATTTTAAATGCACCTCAAAACTGGGACTGAAAAGAACAGAACATGGTCTAGCTCTCTCTCGGAACGCTGGCTGCTCCCACAGTGAATGAACACATTCGCTCACAGGCAGAAGGCAATATGGGGAATATTCTGTATGGCCACCAAGAGCCAGGCTGTGAGCCAAGACTCAGACAGCCAGGCTGTGGTAGCCCATTCATGGATGTTTGAGGCTTATTTATTTATTTTTCCTAAGAGGAAAGAGAGACAGGCCATTTTCTTTTTAAATCCAACTTAGAGTTTACCATTCAAATTTCTAGCAGCACCACAGTGGGAAAGAAGCCACGCTCTATATCTCATAAAAGCAGAAAAAGTAGTTCTTAGACAGTTATTCTTTCCTGTTCTTTTATTAATTTTTAAAAACGTAATGCTACAATGTAGCATCTTGAAATCTTGCGAAAATTATGGAATCTTGAAGACACTGTAAATCTTGAAAGCATTATGCTCAGTGAAAAACCTCAATCACAAAAAGACAAATATTGTATGATCCCACTTATAGGAAGGAGCTCTGGTGGCACAACAGTTAAGAGCTTGGCTGCTAACCCACCCAACAGCTCCATGAGAGAAAGGCCTGGCAATCTGCACCTGTGAAGATTACAGTCTAGAAAATCCTATGGTGCAGTTCTGTTCTATCATATGGTGTTGTCTATGAGCCAAAAATCAGCTTGATAGCACTCAACAAGTGGGCAAATGGTATCTATAGAGACCAAATTTTCTAGTGGGGGTATGAGGGAGAGGGAAAGGGGGAGTCATTTTTGCGTAGGGGATACTGAGCTTCTCTTAATGGTAGTAGTGTATTAGAAATGGTTAACGATGGTGGTTATATAACATGATGAACATGTTGAATGTCACTGAATTGTGCATGTAAAAAATGTTGACTTGGCAAATGTTGTGTTATATATGCATATATATATATATATATACACATATATATGTTTATCAGGAGCTCTGGTAGCTTAGTGGCTAAAGCACTTGACTGCTAACCAGAAGGCTGGCGGTTCAAACCCACCAGCCACTCCTCGGAAGGAAGGTTGGGCAATCCTACTTCCGTAGTGATACTGCCTCGGAAACCCAAGGAGGGGTCACTATGAGTCGGGGCCGACTCGACGGCACATAACAACAACAACAACAACATATATGTTTATCATAATAAAATAATCTTTAAGAAAAGAAGCAGAGCACATTGCAATAAAAAGCTCTGTACAAAGATACAATGCAAGAGTGATGAGGCCCTGTGACAGATGCCAAGTTGACAAGTGGTGGAATTGTGGTAGTTGTGTGTCAACTTGGCTGGGCCTGATTTTGAGTGGCTGGGCAACTGGATGTAGTTATTCCCCATGATGACACTGGTAATCAATTCCATGGTGGAATCTACCTGAGCAGCTGAGTAGCTGCTTTAGGGATATGATCTGCTTCGAGTATATAAGAAGTCAGCGTTGAGAAAGGTTGGGGAGCTTTTTGGCATGCTTGGACCCTGCATGTAATCAAGTCTTCATCTCAATGGCCTGCCATGTTGTCTGCCAACCTTGCTACTGTTTATTAATAGACTTGAATTGATGGCCTGCCATATTGCTTGATAATCTTGTGATGTGCCATTTTACTTGTCAATCTTGGGTTTGTCAGCCTCAGCAGCCAGCAGCTGCCTGAGTGAAGAGACACCTCCAGCTCTAATAGGCTGGGAACAAGAGGCAGAGCTGAAGCCCAGGGTTGAGGAGCCTTCACTCAGTCCCTAGATCTGGCACTTTGAACATGGACTTCTAGACTCTTAAACTGTAAGAGAATAAATCCATTTGTTAAAGTCACCCACCTGTGGTATTTTTCTGTTAGAGCAGTACTACAAAACCAAAACACCAACCCACCAGCTGCTCCACTAAAGAAGATGAGGCAACCTGTTTCTGTAAAGATTCACAGCCTTGGAAACCCAATGGCGGTTGCTACGAGTCAGAGTGGACTGGATGACAGTGGGTTTTTGTCACAAATAAATGTTGTAAACAAAAAAAAAAAAAAAAAGAAGAAAAGTGATGAAGCCCAAAGACTTGGCTCTAAATTGATGACACAAATGACTACATTAGGGCCAAGCTCTTACCAACCATGACTGCACTTGCACTGTGGAAAAGTAGATAAAAGATACAAAGTACTCAGCAAATTTTTAAGACTCATGGCTTTGGGCATTTATAAAAATGCCATAGAGGTAGCATCTGACCTCCTCTAGTTAGGAGGATCAAGATCAACAGCCCAAGGCATACCACTTCTCTACAACTTTTTTTTTTTTTTAACCAATTCTGACACTAACCATCTTTCTCATGGCACTCTCTACTTCTCTGCTGGGTTCAGTAATTCATTGCAATGGTCACACAGAAATCAGACAGTACTCAAGATTATGGGGTTTATTACGGAACTACCAAGTTACAATTTAGGAGTAGAAATAACTCAGGATACAGTTTTTTGGTCAGCACAGCTTCTTCTCAGCTATACCAAGAGGCAGGCGCCTCAGGCCACTTGGGCTGGCCTGGCCTCTGCCCTGCTCGAGCAAGTGTTACAGAGACCTTTAGCTCCACCAATAAGTTCCTGGAGGCACCTCATTCTGCTAGTAAGCCTTGGCCTGAAGGTGCTTAGCTCTCTCTTTCCATGGGCCAGGAAGCCCACTGTATTGTCTTGTATCAATCTCCCAGTTCTTCTGCCTCTGCTTCTTGCAGTCTCTCATTGTCTCTGGTTTTACAAGTCTCTGACTCCTGGGTCTAGGAGGTTCCCAGTGCAAAGATGTAGGGACCAAAGGATGTGCTACGCTCCTGTCTCTCCTTTTTGATTGTAGTAGCCCCCTCTCTGCTCTGGGATTGGATCTTTTAAGACTAGCGGGATGGCAAAACTGACCAATCCCTCTTTAGGATTCCATATACCTTATTTGCCTAGTTCCATGCCCACAAGAATGCCATGCACTTTATCTGCATTATTAGCAAGCTGTTCAATCCCCTTGATGGGCTACAAGCCCCTTATTTGCATAGTTCTACCCAATCACTTAGAAGCTCTGGTAGCATAGTGCCTAAGGCACTTGACTGCTAACCAGAAGGCTGGCGGTTCAAACCCACCAGCCACTCCTCGGAAGAAAGGTTGGGCAATCTACTTCCGTAGTGATACTGCCTCGGAAACCCAAGGAGGGGTCGGTATGATTCGGGTCCAACTCGACGGCACATAACAACAATAACAACAATACCCAATCACTTGGTGGGAGTTAGGAAGGACTATGGCTAGAAGGGCCATATTAAGTAACTCACTGCACTGCAGGCATGTTGTTGTTGTTGGGTGTCATTGAGTCAATTCTTACTCAGTGATTCCATGTGACAGAGTAGAATTGCCCCATAGCACGGTTTTTGGCTGCAATCTTTAAGAAAGCAGATCACTAGGTCTTTCTCCCTTAGGATCAATGGGTAGGTTTGAACTGTCAACCCTTCAGTTAGAAGTTGAGCTCTTAAGCGTTGCACAACCAGGACTCCTTCCTTTGGACATACACTTGTGTTATTTCAAGAACTCCTATGGAAGTAATTCCATGATTTCTTATATACAGTATGCTCACCTGAAAAACATCTTGCTAGAAATATCTTTGAATCACAAAAACAACGACTTACTCTGACCTCACGTAATGGTCCTACTAGAAATTAGGATCCCAAGGATGATATAAATAGTTAATGCACTTGGCAGCTGATTGAGAGGTTGAAGGTTTGAGCCCACTTAGAAGAGCATCAGAAGAAAGGCTTGTCTCTCTAGTTCCAAAACATCAGCCACTGAAAATCTTATAGAGTACAGTCCTCCTCTGACACAAATGGAGTCATCATGAGTTGGAAATGACTCAGGGGCAATTGGTAGTACCACAAGTTAAAGTTACTTACTCACACCTGTTACACATTGAATTGTGTGGTGTGTCCCCCACACATACACCCAAAATATGTATTGAAATCCTGAAGCCTATACCTATAAATATGATCCTGTTTGGAATGTTGTATAAATTAGTTTGGGTTCTAAATCTAATCACTTCTGAGTTCTAAAAAGAGAAGAATGGACACAGAAACACACATAGGGAGAAGAGGAAGCCAGAATGAGACAAATGCATCTACAAGGATCGCCAGCAGCTACTAGAAGCTGAAATAGGCAAGGAAGGACCTCCCCCTACAGCCACACCCTGAATTTTTACTTTATCCTTCTGAACTATGAAAGAATATATTTCTGTTCTTTAAAGCCCAGTCCCCCAAAAAAGAAAAATATGTTACCATCCTGAGTTTTCCAGTAAGTTCCGCACAATTGTCTGTGGCACTGAGCAGTTGTAATAGCCCATGCCAATATATGATCTCCAAATCTGGTTTTTGCTGGAAATGGCATTCAGAGTTGCAAGGATTTCATTTTCACCTGATAGTGGAAAAGAGAGCAATGTTATAGACAGAAAATATCCCAGAAGGGAGTTCTAATTATAGTTTTAAACCCTCCTTTTGTTTGACTATTTCTATGAGGAGAATTAGACAGGAAATAGAAGAATCTGACCACCAACACTAAAGTATACAGAACTCTGAAGAACCCCAAAACAGCATTCAATTTCTTCTCAAAACTGGTTCCACATAATTTTTTGACTCTTAGTTTTTCTGTTTTTTGGATTTTTTTTTTTTTTAATTCTTCTTATGCCAGACTTGCCTAATTTTAACACTTGCCTCCTTCTAGGTTTCTTCTTTATTTCTTTTATGTGGCTTCTGTTCTAATTCTAGATATACTCTAAGTAAAATGTGTCTTTAAACTATACTCTCTGAAAGTGAGTAGGGTTTCAGTCTTAACTAACACTTAATCTACATTTTCTCTAAAATTGTGCTACTGACTCACTTTTTCCTTTGAGTCATTGAAAGAACTGCTTCTAAAAAGTCCATCAACCAACAACATAAAATGTAATAAAGACCACATACAGTTTTAACTGGCATTCCCATTAAAGTACATGGATAATTAAGTGAGAACCGTCAAAGTTTTTGTATGCAGACAAGACCCTATTTCAGGTTCTTTTGTATAACAACAACATAATAGCATCTACCATTTATTGAGGAGACCTGGTACCACAATGGTTAAGCACTTGGCTGCTAACCAAATCGTTGGCAATTCAAATCCACCAGCCGCTACATGGGAGAAAAGACCTGGTAATCTACTTCTGTAAAGATTTTAGTCTAGCAGCATTGAAGATGAGAAAGACATAGAGAGGTACATGGGAGGTACAGACAACAAAGATGAACCCTTTTGCACATACAGTACTGCGTTGTCAGTGAAGGCAAACATGGGTATATGGATGGATAGACGGGTGGACAGGCTAAACGATTAGGTATGTCTATGAAATGGGGAGTGTATCCAAGAACATATATAGGGTTGGCAGACAATGGCCCTATAAGTTTATGTGAATGATCAGAATTCCCAGGTGTATAGTACAGCTGACAAGGGGCAAGGCTGTGGTCACTGCTTGGTCATAGCCAAATACCCAGAGGAACCAAGTAGTTAAACCTGCGGGCTTGGGACCATAGTTGCAGGGGACATCAAGCTCAATTGGCATAACATACTATACAAAACATTGTTCCACCTCCTACTTTGGTGAGTAGCAACTGGGATCTTAAAAGCTAGCAAGCTGCCATCTAGAGGCAACGATGGGTCTCTCCTCCTTCAGAGAAAAGAAGAATGAAGAAAACCAAAATTCATGGAAACAATTTGTCCTAGCAACTGGTACATGATCCAATCTGCAGCCTATACAACTATGAGACCAGAAGAACTAGATGGTGCCCGGCTACCACTGTCATCCACTTGGTAGGGGATCTATGTAGGAGATCCTTGATAGAGAGGGAGAACAATGTGGAACAAAACTCAAAATCATTTGGAGGAAAAAAAAAGGTGGGGACCAGGTTTCCAGGTCCGATAGAGCCAGGTGGAACCACTGAGACTATGGCCCCTAGCTGCCTTTCAGGTCTGGAATTGAACCCACACCTGTGGTTTCAAGCCAAACAAAATACAGGCATATGAGTTAAACATTTACCTCAAGTAGATACACTCCTTGGAGAGAACCATCATGGGAGAAAGAAGGGCTGCTTATGCACAAGGAGACAGCTCAGGGGGCAGGAGTGCATGGAGGGTTGGACACAGGGAAGGGGTAACTATGGGGAGGAAGTGGAAGGGGAGCTGTTGCATTGTGGTAAACTGTGGTCGATGACATGAGACAAAGTATATGTGAACTGCTGTATGGAAAGTGAATTTGTTCTGTAAATCTTCACCCAAATCACAATTGAAAAAAAAAAAAAAAAAGATTTTAGCCTAGGAAGAACCCTATGGGGCAGTTCTACTCTGTACTGTAGGGTTCCTGTGAGTCAGAATCCATTCAATGGCACATCAACATTTATTGAGCATTCACTTTTGCCAAGAATTGTACCAAATGCTTTTCATGAAGCTTAGCAAACTAAGACTTGGAAAGAATCACTTGACCAAAGGATCAAAACTTTAAAGATGAAAACTTCAATCTAACTCTAGATTCCACACTTTAACAACTGGGGAGGTTTAGATCTGCTACAGGTACAGCACTTGTGCCAAAGAGTTCTATTTAGATACAAATGACCTTGCATGGTTCTTTCTCTGCTCCTCTGCAAATAGACACATGTTACTGGGATTTAACTACTTAGGCAAATGTCTATACAAACTGTTTGGTAACTCTGGTGGCATGGTGCCTAAGGCATTTGACTGCTAACCAGAAGGCTGGCAGTTCAAACCCACCAGCCACTCCTCGGAAGGAAGGTTGGGCAATCTACTACCATAGTGATACCTCAGAAATCCAAGGAGGGGTTGCTATGAGTTGGATCTGACTCAACGGCAGTGAGTTTCGTTTTAGGGACTCCATCTTTTAAATCTTGGGGTTGATCAATTTTACTGTGGCTGTGTCAGAGAAAAGCTAGGGACAGTAACATCTAAGACAGCAAGCTGGCTAGAAAGATGCTTCATCTTCTAATTTTAGCCCTGTGTTGTTAGTGGCCATCAAGGTAGCCCCCAGCTCATGGTGACCCCATGCACAACAAAATAAAACTCTGCCTGGTCCTGCAACATACCCATGGTTGGCTGTGATCTGACAGTCAGGCTTTCATTGGTTGATTTTCAGAAGTAGATTGCCAGGCCCTTCTTCTTCTTTTAACCCTAACCCATTGCCAGTGAGTTGATTCCGACTAATAGCGACCCTATAGGACAGAGTAAACTGCGCCATAAGGGTTTCCAAGGCTGTAATCTTTATAGTCGGGGCCGACTCGACAGCACATAACAACAACAACAACAATCTTTATAGAATTAGAAAGCCTCGTCTTTCTCTGCAGAGTGGCTGGTGGATTTGAAATGCCTTTCAGTTGGTAGCTGAGTCCTTTAACCACTATGCCACCAGGTGTCCTTCTTTTATCCCTACTGGACTCCATACAAATAAAACTCATTAGTTCTTCTTTATCTGCAATGAGTACATTTTCCCCTTTCATCTCTCACACCCCCACACATTTACTCCACATGCTTTCACAGGAAATAAATCCACAAGGTGTCATTTTGCCATGGGTAAATATAACCCAGGTTGATTGGTAATTAAACTGCTTTACGAGGAGGATCTTGCCTTGGTTCAATGAAAGCTTAGGCCATATAAATGAGAGGACCATAAATCAACATCTGAAAAGACAGGCAAGTACTACAAGACATCCAGTCACTTCTCAACTGTCTTAGGGGCAGCATGATCCAGAAGCCCCATCGGAGGAGAGTTAATTAGCAGCAGCCGCAAGACCAGTTTCCCTGCTCCATATTATCCCTTGGGGACAAAAGGTCCAGCTTCCAAATGAGAATAGTCAGTGAGAGGCTTGGTCTGTCCAATCCAAGATTTTAGCCTGGGGAAGTCACAAGTATTTTCAAACTGGAGAATAATATGATTGTCTCACATGGTAGAAAGATAAATCCATTGATGGTATGAGTAGATCACAGATGCGAAACCTAGAAACAGGGAGACAGGGTAAGAGGCCAGCACAATAGTGTGGGAGGGAGACGGGCAACAGGCGCTCCCTGTATCAGCCAGTGTCAGGATAGGCTCTGCTACCACTGGGCCCTGCTGGCCAGTTAAATCACAAGCAGACTCAGGTAAACTTTAATTCTTTGTTACTTCCCAGTTTCCATACAGTCTACTCCAACTTATGGCGACCCCACGTGTCAAAGTAGAACTGTGCTCCATAGGGTTTTCAATGGCTGATATTCTTGGAAGTAGATTACCAGCCCTAACTTCTGAGATGCCTCTGGGTGGCCCTCAACCTTCAACCTTTCAGCTAACAGTCAAGTGCATTAAGCATTTGCACCACCCAGGAACTCCTTGCTAAATATGTCTTTCCGTAAATTTCTACAAGTGAAAATAATCAACCCAGGTGGTGTGTACAATGTATTTACTAAACAACTTTATCATCAGCTGGCACAAGAGAGCAGGGGCTAGCTACCCTTCTGGAATGCACTGAAATTCAAGGCAGAGATGTTCAGTAGTTTTTCCTACAGGTCTTTTGTGTAATCAGTTATTCACAATTGTACAGCCAGTTTTACAGCCCAAAGGTCTGCACTCGATCATTCTAACACAGCCTAATGTGTCAGAAGAGAGCAGTGATTCTTGTGGTCATGTTATTTTACAATGGATTAAGATATCCTACCCAATGGCTGATTTCCAACTGGCTCCATGCTTGGGGGAAAATAACACAATGGTAGCTGAAATGATTATCAATAGCTACATGAAAATTGGTAGAGACAGAAAAATTCTTTGTGGCACAAAGAGTTAAGCCCTTGACTTCCAATCAATGGTTAGGGGTTTGAACCTACCCAGAGTACCTCGGAAGAGAGGCTTGGAGATCTGCTTCTGAAAGATTTTGAAAAAAAAAAAAAACCCTTTCTGTTAGCAGTCAAGCACTTTAACCACTGTACCACTAGAGCTCCTTCTGAAAAGTCACAGCCTTGAAAACCCTATGGAGCAGTTCTACTTTCCAAACAAGGAGTCACCATGAGTCAGAATTGACTGGAAGGCAAGTGACAACAGCAAACGGATTATTTAGACCTGCTGCTCTCAGGGTTAGTCAGAGAGCCAACAATGCAGGGTGTACTCCCTCTTTTCCTAACCATCCCTCCTGCCACCCCAAGAGAACATAATGGTACTAGACAGCTAGGAATTTGGCAGTTTGCCAAGGGCTACAATTACAGTCCTTTATAAGTCAAGTCATCTGAAAAATAAACTTCAAGGACTCAGATTCCAGAAGAGCTCTCAAAGGTGGGCAGGAACCCTGGAGCTCAGGCCTGGTATTGGAAAAGAATCCTATGCTAAAGCAAATCCCACCCCTCATCTCTCTTGGAAAGAC